TGTAATGCTTGTATTTGATAACATCTACATTTAGAACTGTCAGTCATGGTTTCAGGAGGCAGAGTCATGGCCTTAGAAAATGACGTAGTGATGGGCCCAGAAATGTTGAGATGAACGTGTTGATTTTCATCTGGGAATGGGGCAGAGAGTCTCTTAAAACCCGCACAGATTCTGCTCCTTATACGGACCATTGGAGTTTTTAAAAATGATTTTTGTTAACACAGTAATTCAGGACTGTTCATACAACTGAATGTTGCCTAGAATTTATAAAAGTCCAGTATTAGAAACAAATACGTATAAAACCCTGGAGAGTCCGCCAAAAAAACTGTTAGAACTAATAAGTGAATAGGGTAAAGTGACAGGAGAGAACATCGACATACAAAAATTGGTTGTTTCTGAACACCAACAGTGAACTATCCGAGAGAGAGATTAAGAACAGAACCTAATTTCCAGGGGCATCAAAAACATTAAAATACTTAGGAATAAGTTGAACCAGTAAAGTAAAAGACCTACACTCTGGAAACTGTAAGACACGGAGGAGCATACAGACAGATGGAAAGCTTTTCCAGGTTGTTGCGTTGGAAGAATTAATATTGTTGAAATGGCCATGCAACCCAAGGTAATTAGCAAATTCAACACAATCTCTATCAAACTTCCAATGGCATTTCTTATAGAAATAGAAACAACCCTAGAATTCAGATGAGATCACAAAAGACCCCAAATAGCCAAAGCACTGTTGAGAAAGAATGGAGTTGGAGGTTTTACACACCTGATTTCAAACTATATTACAAAGCTGTAGTGATCAGAACAGTGTGGTTCTGATATAAAAATAGGCACATAGACCAATGGAACAGTATCGGGAAGCCAGAAGTGAACCCGCACACGTTTGATCAACTATTTTTGACAAAGTTGCCAAGAGCCCATAATGGGGATGGATAATCTCTCCAGCAGCAGTGCTGGGAAGATGGGCAATGATGAAGCTACACTTGTCTCTTTACCACTCAGAAAAATTAACTTGAGCTGGAATCAAAGACTTAAATGTAAGACCCGAGCCCATAAAAGGATCTGAAGAAAACAGTGGAAAATCTCCTTGGTGTTGGTCTTTGCAACGATTTCCTGGATACGACACCAAAAGCAAACATCAACAAATAGGACTGTATGAACCTCAGAAGCTTCTGTACAGCCAAAGAAATCGTCAGCAAAATGGGAAGGCATCCTACAGAATGGGAGAAGATATTTGCAAATCTTATGTCTGATGAGGGATTAGTATCCAAAATAAATGAAGAACATCTACAACTCAATAGTACAGAACTAAATAATGGGATTAGGAAATGGGCAAAGGAACTGAATGTCACTTTCCCCAGGAGGACATCCAGTTGCCCAACAGGTACATGAAAAGATGCTAAACATCACTTTTCATCAGGGAAATGCAGATGACCACGAGTTATCATCTCACGCCTGTTAGAATTACTGTCATGAAAAAGTTAAGAGAGAACAGGTATCGCTGAGGTTGTGGAGAAAGGGAATGCTGTGCACTGTTGGTGGGAATGTGGACTGGTGCAGCCACCATAGAAAACAGTATGGAGGGTCCTCAAATCTTTAAACCTAGAATTTCATATGATCTGGTAATTCTACTTCTGCATATGTATTCGAAGGAAAGGAAATCATTAGCAAAATCTGTCCTCTCTTTCTCATGTTGTTCATAATAGCCAAGATGTAGAAGCAGTCTGAGTGTCCATTGATGGATGAACGGATAAAGAAAATGTGGCATATAAATGATGAAAAATTATTCTGCCATATAAGAGGGAAACCCCGGAGTCTGTGATAGTTTGGATGAACCTGGAGGACACTACTAAGTGAAATAGGTCAGAAAAAGACAGACGCTTTATGGTATCATGTATATGCGAAATCTTAAAAACAAAAAACAAAACCAAAAATACCTCAAATTCAAGAGCAACAGAGGAGAATGGTGGTTTTCAGGGTTAAGTGTGGGGGAAATGGGAAGTTGCTGGTCTGAGGGCACGAACTTTCAGTTGCAAGATAAGTTAGGGGATCTACTGTGCAGCGTGATGACTGTGGTGAGCGGTACTTCTCTGGATTCTCGACGTTTGCTACGAGAATAGATCTTAGGCATTTCCTCTCTTTCCTTCACACACCCAGGTAGTGATGGATGTGATAATTAACGTGATTGTGGCAAATATTTAACAATGTAGACATGTATCAAATCATCATGTTGTACACCTTAAATATATACAATTTTGTCAATTACAACTCAGGAAAACTGGAAGGAAACAACGGCACAAGCACCCATGCTGGGGAGAAGCAGGCAGTCGGAGTAAACGTGTACACCGTGTCCCTTTGGGCTTGTGCAGTTTTGGGGATGAACTTTGTTGGGGGAAGTTCTGGTGCTTTCCATGGGCTCCCTTCTCCCTGGGGACTGTATCACATGGCATGGCTGTCAGAGAGGGAGGGCCCCTGCCCGTGTGCACCTGGTTCTGAAGGCAGACCCAGGGCGGGTAAGATCTGAGGTGTCATAGAAGGACCCCAGGCTCCCGTCGGTAGACATGCAGAAGGTCTGTGGCTCTTTCTCTGCGTGCAGGGAAAATCCAGCCAGCCTGCGTGATGGAAGGTGTTGCCATGGGACAGCTGGCACATGGTGGGCACTCTGCCCGTGTCTGCTGCCATCCCCCCGTTCCTGCCACTCTTACAGGAGGCTGGTGCTTCCCAGCAAAGGACACCGTCCTGGACGAGCTTGGTCTGGTGGGGGGAGAAGGACACAGAGATGATTTATGAAGTGAGGGGCAGTGGGATAAAGGCTGGGGAGGAAGGCTGGGGGCTTCAGGAACACAATAGCCCAGCCTAAGAGGAGTAAAGGAGGGCTTCCTGGTGGAGAAGGTGGCTGTCTCCTTTCGTCTTGGAGAGAGAAACAGGTCAGCTTAACACAGAAGGTGTGTGGGAAGTTCTAGGCAGAGACAGTGGAGCAGAGCCAAGGAGGTGCATGGAGATAGTGTGAGTGAGGCTCTGGGTCAAGGGGATGGGAGGACGGGGCAGGGCTACTGGTGACGGCATGGGGGATCCGTGTTGGGGAGCTTGATTTTGTCTGTAGGCGAGAGGATTAGAAACCTGGCCTGGATTCTGCCCACTTCAAGCATTTGTAAGTGTTGGAAAGGCCATGTGTGGCTGGGTGGGGAGCTGGGTGGAGATGGACCATAGCTGGGTTTCACTTGATGGGGTGGTTACAGGACCCCAAGCAGTAGCACCCGGGAAAGCATCGTGCACACGGCCAGGCACAACCCCCAGAGGTTGTCCACCAGATCGCCACTATTCTGAGGAAAACCCCAGGGGCCGTCCATAAAACTTTAGGGATTGCCAACTACCTCCTGGAAACAGTGGGTTCACCCTAGTGCCTGGCTGGTTTACACGAGGTCACTGTGATTAGTTAAACTTTGTGAAAGTAATGGCTTCACCCTACGCTGGCCGTGGGCTCTCTTATGGCTGAGTTGGCCGTCCACCATGGGTGCGTCACACCACTTGTCACTTTGCCACTGACCAGAGCCCTTTCTGGCCCATCATAGTGAGTATCTCCTGCTGCAGATGAATTACTCCAGAAGCTGGTGCCCTGCCTGGCGGCAGCACTCACCACCTCTCCCTGCTTCTGTGGGACAGGCATCTGGGAGTCACGTGGCTGGGCAGTGCGGCTCAGGGACTCTTGAGAGGCTGCAGCATCTGAAGGCACGACTGGGGCCAGAGCACCCCTCCCCAGCTGGCCGTACGCTGGTGCTCCCCATGGGGGCCTCTCCAGGGGCTGCTCCGGCACCTGGCTGTCCTCAGCAGGACTGGCCTGAGACTCGGGGTGGAGTCTGTAAGCCCTGTGTTCTGCCTCATCCGTCGACCAGCCGCGAGCCACCGTGGGAGGGACTGCACATGGGCACGGGTCCACGGGTCACTCAGGCCATCTTGGGGTCTGACGGCCGTGAGAGTCGCGCCCCCGTCCCAGGCTGCCAGTAGACTGGCCGCCTGCCTGACTCAGCATGTGGGCTGAGCATCCTTTGGGGCCAGGGAAATTATTTGCCTGCATTTCTGCTAATTCTCACTTACCTGGAGGCCAGGGGCCTCTGATGATGTCCTCGCTCCCTCGGGGTCTCGCGCTGGCCTCCAGACCTGGCTGTGCTTCTGTCTACGTTTCTAGGCTGGCGTGGAAGCCCTTTTTATTCAAGGCAAGTCTGTTTAGATTAGAAAATCACTCATCGCCTTTGTGCAGTGCACCCATTTGGAGACGCAGAGTAAACCTTTGTCTTTGTGCATAATCTCCCAGACCTCGGAGGTATAGAAAGACCATTGGGAAAATAGGTCTCGCAAAGATAGTGCTGCTGGCTGTCCTCTGCCGGGGTACCCGTGACCGCCAGCCAGTGGCCAGGTTACTTGTCTGCTTTATCCTTCTTCAGTCCTGCAGAACCTTGAGGAGTTCAGCGCTTCCATCCCCAGCTCTAGGAAGGAAAAGGATGGGGTGTGTGTGTGTTGGGGGGTGGGGAGTAACCTCTGGGCTTCCAAGTGCTGAGCCATATTTGGGGCCCGGCTCCTGCCCCCCCGAGGCCTTGTTCTTCAAGGACCCTGCTTGTGTACGCTGGTATCGTGTTTGTGGTCTCAGACCAGGGTCCCTCGATGGCATCACAGTCGTGCTGGGAGAAGAAGCTGAGGTCCAGAGAGGTCACTGGTCCTGCCCTGGGCTGCATGGCTGTGGAGGGCTGTGAAGGCCCCATCCCCCCATGCCCAGCCCAGGTTCCCTCCCCCACGCCCCAGCTGCACCCCTGCCTTCTCTATGCTGGCATCTGGCGGTGGCCGGGGCAGGCCCGCAGGCCCGACCCGCATGGCGGGGGCCTGGGGGGTGCTCCCTGGCAGGCAGCCCAGCCGAGCCTCCTGAGGGCGGGTCTGTGAAATCCCCACTGGTTCTGGCTCTAAGTCTGCGCTGTCTGGGCCTCTGACCGGACGCATGTCTCTGCGCTCGCACAATGGCCCGGGTGCAGGGACTCCTCTGTGGGAATTTAGACGTGGATTTATTCTGACAGTCCGTTCCCAGGCTGTCCGGAAGCGCGGGGCGTGTGGCGCTGAACGGGCAGCTTGGTTCTGGTTGAAAGGCACCAGTCCTGAGGCCGGGGGGTGGGGAAGGGGAGGTTTCCCGTCCCTCTTTGGGGAGAAGCTGTGATCCGCAGGCCGACATGGAGGCTCCGCACGGCTGGGAGTCCGCACGGCTCTCCTCCGGGTCCCAGGAGAGCCCGCGGTTGTGGTGTGGCGTCTTCCCGGCGCTGCCAACCGTGGGGGCCGGCCGGGGCCTTGCCCGCCGGGTGCACCCCGCACGCCGCTGAAGCCGGCCCCGCGTGACGGGGGCAGACCTCCCTCTGCCCCGGTCTTCGAGGGCGGGCGGTTTGCAGGTGGGAGGCGTGTTGCTGCTGAGGCTGCTGAACGCACACCCCTTCTTTCTCTCTCTTCCAGCCTGCGAGTGCTCCTGCCACAAGCCATGTGAAGCCAAGGTAAGCTGCTGCTTCCTGAGGGCCGCGCCCCGCAGTGGCCTCTGCCGCCTTGGCCAGCGGCCACGGGCGCGGAACGCGCGAGAAGGGGCTGCCAGACGCCTAGGCAGGACGCATACGTGTCATCTCGGGAGGGAGCTGTAGCGCTGTGGTTCTGTGCTCTAACTGTGGAAGGGGACGCTAAGAATCTGGTTTCAGATAAGAATTTGGTGATTGGCCCTCCCCTCACCCCCCAGCAGATGCCCCTTCTCTCTCACGGTTGCACCGTGGCACTGGGGTGCAGTGGGCACAGGGCTTGGGGCGTGTACCTGGACTTGAGGATTTGGGGGCTGCTTTAGGGCCGTTTTCTTGGGTTGGTGAGATGGTCAGGCTGTCAGGGAAGTCGAGGCCTGACTTGGGGAAGTTTCCCTGGTTTTCGAGTTCCTTGGAGGGGCTGCATTGCTGAGGGCCCCCTGAAGCGCTGTAGGCCTGGGCTGCTTGGTCGGGTTAGGACTTGGACTAGTGGAGCAGTGAGGAGGCCTGGAGCTGGCGGGTGGACAGCTGTGGGCACCCCGGGACGGAGGCCTGGGATTCTGCCCGGGTCACACATCTGCACCTCCCACATTTTCCAGGAGCACATGCGTTGTCCCCTCTGACTGGCCGGTCCTGCCTCGGTGGGAGCCTCTCACATATCCTGCAGGCTGCCCCAGGGCTGGAGGCCTAGGAAGATGGGGTTTTAGAGAGTGTGTGCAGAAGTGTGCGCTGGAAGCTTGCTTCGTTTGCTGTGGACTGGCTCCTCGCGATGAGTTCTGTTGGGGGGGGGAATCCCGAATCCCTTCTCCCTCCCTGCCACACGCGTGCACGCACGCACACACACGCGCATGCACGGTTCACACCCATGCAGGAACATAAGCAAGCATATGCACTCACACATGACAATCCACACGTGTGCGAGAGCACACACACAGTTCACACCCATGCTGGAGCACACGCACACGCACAGACACAAGCATGTGCACACACAGTTCACACGCACGTGGGCACACATGTATGCATGCACACAGTTCACACATTTGCACTCACACACTTCACACACCACATTCACGCAGACGTCTGTTCACTCATGCACACACACGCACACACACAGTCGGCAAGAACTCCGGGCTACTCTGGCCCTTTGTGTTTTTTCTAGAAAGAGATTAAATACTTTTTCTTTTTAAACTTTCCACGATGGGGGATTTGGAACGCAGGAGAAGTGGAAAGCATGGTACAGAGCCCTGCGCTTCACCGTCACCCTGCCCCGCGGCCAGCAGCACCCCTGCCGTGCCTTCTGAAGCTGCGATTCCCCGCTCTGAGATGTCGCGGATGTGGGTGCGAGTGGTTTTAGGAACAGGCACCCGTGGTGGGACCTCGGGGCATATCTGCTTCCCTTCTGGTCTCGCTCCGGAGGGGCCCCTTTCTGGCCGAGGCCAGGTGTTCCTTGCTGGGGCACACACCGGGGTGCTCGTTTCTAATCTTGGCTTTGTCTGTAAATGCGCTGCTCTCCCGTGTGTGCTGTGTGCTTCTGAGTGACGTGTCAGAGCACACGCATTGTCTGGGTTTCCCGGAGGGCCCCTGCCCGCACGCTGGGAGGGTTGAGATGTGCCGGGCTGTATGGCCAGCCTGGCCACTGCTGGTTGGCAGTGGAGAACTGAGCAGCCCCTCCCCCGCTGTCGGCACCACGTCTTGAAGGCGGCCCAGGGCTGGCTCCTTGGAGGATTGAATTCTTTGGCTCCAAGAATATTCCAGAAGTCTTAGCTATCACCGATGATGGCATTTCTGGCCGCAGTAATTGGCATTTTGCTAAGAGGTAGATAAGCGTTTTCTCTCAGTGGATCGGGGCTGGGGGAAATGTATCCGCATTCATTTTTCTTGATAACCCAGCTTTGAGTGGCAGGAGGGAATGCCACCAGCAATAACAAAGCCCCTTCTGATTCCAGAACCGTAACACCGTCACCACGGGGCGCAGAGCGGCCATACATTCCCAGCCGCCGCTGGAGATAAGCAGGGCCTCTCCATCTGCCAGGAGCTGAGACGCGGCTCTCGCCGACAGCGTGGGTCCTTGCTCAGCGCAAGTGCGTGTCACACGCAGGCTGCCTCAGGCCCGGGGCTCCCTGGGTTTCCGGCAGACAACCGCAATGCTTCAGTTTAGAGCACAGGCTTTAGCCTAACGTCCGACCCGGCCCGACTGCTTACTGGCTTGGGGAAGGCACGAGCTGTGGGTTCCTTCTGTGACGTCTGCAGACTTGGTGGGGACGCGGAAGGAGTGACAGAGGCCGAGTGTGTGAGTGTGCGGTGAAGCCTGCTGTACCGGCTTCACCAAGGACAGAGCCGTCCTGCAGAGCTGGGGCCGAGCCGGGGGCTGGAGGCTGGGGGCTGGGGGCTCAGGCAGGGAAGCCGAGGCAGAGCGGGGACCTCGACTGCTGCCACCATGGACTGAGGTCACGGTCTTCCTGGCCGATGGGCAGTATGGCCCCTCCGGCGAGGTCTTGGGCCCAGAGGGCACAGAAAGGCAGAGACGTGGGCTGTGATCCCGTGTCCCAATGGGGGCTTCTTGTGCGCTGGGACAAGCCCCCCGGGGCTGTGGTTTTTCTCTGTGCGCAATGGGTGAGCAATCGGTGCACAGTCTGACGTGAAGACAGCTTGCTCTTAGCTGTTAATTATGGTAATCTTGATTATTTAGGTTTTAGGGAAGGCAAATAATTTAGGTTTAATGGCTGGGGAGTACTGGGGTTGCAAATACTTTGCTCGCTGGGAGGCTGTGCTGTTTTCTGGAGCCTTGTGAGCTGCCTGGGCGGTGTGAGCTGGTTTTTACTGACCACTGGCTAACTCACGGGCATGAGGCACGGGAAGGAGGAGAAAGCCATTGTCGGGAGGCTGGTGATGGGGTCCAGGTGGGACCCCCCAAGTATGGCAGAGGTGGGGTCCCGGTGGGCTTTGGCAAGTGGGTGGGAGCTCTGCGGAAGTGGGAATCCACGCCGTCCGCCCCATGGCTCGGGCACGGGTCCCTTCCCCATCCGCCCAGACCACACACTGCTGTTACGGGAGCCATCGGTCAGGAGCACAGGGTATGCCGACCACCACACAGAATGTGCTGTTCTGTTGTTTTGCAAACGTAAGGCCCCGCATTGGGATAGCGCAGTGAGTTGGTGGGGCTGGAGCCACGCGTGGTGGTAGGGAGCAGTCATCTCGTGGAGGGTCCCCACGCTGGGCTCACGTTGAGCCCCCTGCCATGTGTCTCCAAAGCCAGGGCTCTGTCCTTAGGCCCCTTTGTCCCTTGCATAACATGGATGTCCAGCTGGCTTCTTCTCTTTTCTGGATGTGCTTTGATGGGACCCCAGGGCTGGCCCCCTTGGTGAGGTGGGAGCCCGCTTTGGGAGAGGAGGGAGCCCTGGGCGGCTTCAGGAACCTCTGTGCCTTGTCCCCATGTAGCTGTCATGTGGTGGCCAAGCTGGGAGGCCTCCAGCCTCTCAACAGAAGCCGCGAGCTGCGACCGGCACACTGTTCCTCTCTCTGAAGGTTGAGGCACGGCCCTCCCCAACCGCCCTCCCTCCAGAGCCTCCCACGTCTGGAACCCAGGCAGTGGCGGCCCCATCCTGCCACTGTCTCTGCTGGCCTCACGCACCGGTGGCCCCTGAGTTCTGACTGTGGTTCAGGAGCCGCAATGACCTGCTGAAGACCGTGTTTGCTAGGTGGCCCCTCTGCCACAAGGCCCAGAGCCTGCGGGGTCCTCAGAAACCACCACGGATGTGGGTCCAGGGTACAGCCGGTGCCACTGGCGTAAGTGAGGAGTTTTAGCCGGGAGATTCGTCTGCCGGTCCCCTGGATCTCCACACAGCTGTCTTCTCTGCTGTGCCCCAGGTGTGGTTCGTCAGCCCCTCCCCGCTTCCATCCAGTGGATGGGGGCTGCTGTCACACAGCCCGCGCGTCCCAGCGGTCAGAGCGTCGGGTTTCAGAGTCCCCAGCTCTGTGTGTGCTTCATGCTCTGTGCTGGCCCGTGTGCCTGGCACCCCTGTTCTGAAGCCTCCAGATCCCCCAGCTCGTGCCCTCCTGTTCTTCTCTGGCCGGAGCCCATGGCCCACCCCTGCAGTGTCTGGGTCTGAACCAGGAAGGATGCGTGAGGGCCTGGGACCCGCCAGCCCCTCCCGGGTCCTTTGTCCCCCGAGTGACCCGCAGCTTCTTGGCGTCACTCAGACTTCTCAGAACTCCTTGGGAGATGCCGGCAGAGCTTGGGGCGCATCTCCGGAACTTGGCTGGTAGTGAGGCTCTGGGCCTTGGGGGATGACTTGGTTTGTGATGGATGCCAGCATCGCGGGCACGAGCCTGTGGTGAGGCTCCTGCTCCTGCCTCGGTCACCGGTTTTGCTCACAAGCCCCAGCTCAGACTCTGCCGTCAGCTCGGTGAGAGCCCGTTTCATGGTTTTAATTCATCACAAAAGTACGGGAATCCGTGCGTGGTGTGGTGCGGTGACTTACACTTGTGCCTTCTGGAAGGTTCCTCTGAGAATGTTCTTTCCCACCGTGTCACATTTGGTCTGTGCTGTCTTATGATCCTTTGTAGACACTGCCTGGTGGAGGCCCGTGTGACAGCTTTGCCTCTGCCCTTTGTCCCTTGTGTCTGCGGGACGTGGTGGGAGGAATGGTAGTGCTCGTGGTTTGACGTATTTTTAGCAAATTAATTCCAGGGTGTTCCTGGACTCCCCTAGTGTGAAGAGGACCTTCCGTGGAGGGGATCCCACACGGTTCCTTGGGTTGTCCATGCACCTGAGCCCGAGCTGGGGACTTGTGGGTCCGTCCAAGCAGGCTGGCTCGCAGGGGTGTGCGGGTGCCCAGTGTAGGGTGGGAGACGGGACATCGAGGTCGGGCTGCCCTGGGGCCGGGTTTGAATGTGGACAAAAAAACCAAGAAGGAGCAGTTGGTGTGTCATTTTTCTCTCTCAAGCGTTAGTGATGAGAATCACCGCTCCCTGAAACTCTGCACTGGGGG